ATATGGAAATTAACCGCAGATAATTTCTAAAATTAGATTAGTTTATGTAAAGGCGCAGTCGAATTTCGAACACTGGTGCCTGTTATTAAATTATTCTTTGAAATTAATTAATTAATTGCAATAATTTTGAATGATTAATTACTGTTCATTAAAAAAAAACTAGATCACTTGATTTATGAATTTTAATAAATGATAAAATAATATGAATATTCCTCCAATTCTTTTATTTGGGAATTTCCCAAATTCTGTTTGGTTGCCAAAAGTCTAGCTTTTTGGTAGTTACACAAAAAAATATTTCACGAACCAAAAATGGGGAGTTTTTTATTCAATGTTATTTCTTCAAGAATATAAGAATATGTTTTTGCCTTTTTTTCATTTAATATTAATAATATTAGTGTCAGTGATCCAAAACAAAATTTTTTTTTCAAATCGCCTAGTTCAACTCATTTGAAATTACATGGGGCTCTTGCCAGTTTATACAACTAGTATTTTAATCACCTAAAGTTTTCAAAATTTGCCACATATATCCTTGACATGGTTAGTGGATTCATTACCAGCCCAGTAATGTAAAATAATTTTTTGATTGATGACTAATATTTTATGGGAATTTTTTGAAATAGGGCGAACTTTTGGTTATCAAAAATTATGCTTCACTCCGTCGATGGGTGAAGTAATGATATTATTAATATGATAATTGATCGCATTAATTGATTATTATTATTATTATGGTTAGTTTATTTAGGACACTCGAGTTGCTAATAATTAATTAATTAATTAATATGTTTTACATGTAAACAATTTGATTAGCGACAACATCTGAAATGATTTTATCTTCTTCTCGCGTTATGCATTTAATATGTATTTTTTTTCTCACAAAACAAAATTATTTATTTATTTATTTTCTTTGATAAAACCATTATCGTTTGGCGATTGACGGGCGGGATGAACACAATCATGGGGTTCCTTAACAGGTCATAATCATTTTGCACAAGTTGTTGCAATTTCGTCGGATGGACAATTTGCCTTATCAGGTTCTTGGGACAAGATACTTCGATTATGGGATTTGAATACCGGAACGACTACTCGTCAATTGTTGGACATGAACAAGATAGTAATGATATTATTAATATGATAATTGATCGCATTAATTGATTATTATTATTATTATGGTTAGTTTATTTAGGACACTCGAGTTGCTAATAATTAATTAATTAATTAATATGTTTTACATGTAAACAATTTGATTAGCGACAACATCTGAAATGATTTTATCTTCTTCTCGCGTTATGCATTTAATATGTATTTTTTTTCTCACAAAACAAAATTATTTATTTATTTATTTTCTTTGATAAAACCATTATCGTTTGGCGATTGACGGGCGGGATGAACACAATCATGGGGTTCCTTAACAGGTCATAATCATTTTGCACAAGTTGTTGCAATTTCGTCGGATGGACAATTTGCCTTATCAGGTTCTTGGGACAAGATACTTCGATTATGGGATTTGAATACCGGAACGACTACTCGTCAATTGTTGGACATGAACAAGATCAAATTATGGAATATGCTCGGTGAATGCAAATTTAATATTCAGGATGATGGTCATACTAATTGGGTATCTTGTGTTCGATTTTCACCAAATCCCTCCAATCCAATCATTGTATCATCTAGTTTGGATAAACTTGTAAAGGTGATTATTATCATTGTTATTATATATATTTGACTGTGATGTTCAAATTAATGCTTATAATATTTGCTACTTTGGAGGAATTAAATACATTTCAAAGAAAAAATTTGAGTCAATTGCATATTTATACATACTTGTGTATTATTTGAAAATTGACAATTATATATTTATCAATTTGAAGAATTAACAAAAATCCATATATATATAAATACATTAATATTACATATAGGTTTGGGAACTTGGCAAATGTAAACTTGAAACTAATCATTATGAACACAGTGGATATATTAATGCTGCTGTTACCATTTCACCAGATGGATCACTTTGTGCATCTGGTGGAAAAGATTGTTATGGGATTTGAATGAAGGCAAATATTTGTATTCATTAGAAGCAAATGATATCATAAATGCTTTAGTGTTCAGTCCAGATAGATATTGGTTGCGTGCTGCTACAACATCTTGTTTGTATTAAGATTTTGGGATCTTGAAACTAAAAAAGTTATTTATGATTTAAACCTGATTTTACAGAAACTGGTAAACACTCAAAAGATCCTGAGTGTATCTCTTTGGCTTGGTCGCCTGACGATACTACACTATTTGCTGGATATAAAAGTATAATTAATTATTGATCTCATATTATTATTGTTTTATTAATATATGTTCTTTTTGGTAATTAAAGACAGCAACAGAGTTTGAGAAGCACTATAATATCTATTTACACATGCCACCTGTATAAAAGATGATCCCTTATTTTTTTCTTTAAAAATAAAAAAATTTACATTACGATATTTATTATTATTTTATTAAATAATAAATTAATCTCTATATTATAACCTTATATTAATAATTTTTCAATTTGATTTTTGATTTGAAGGATTTGAGGTTTCAATTCTGAAGCTTCATTGTTAGTTATGGAGACAGCAATCACTGGGCGTGAGACACCACATGCACGACCCAACGCAGTTTTCGAAGGAACAAATATATATGGAACGTTCTGTCAATAACAAAATTATTAATAAAATATAAATTACGAGGATAAAAAATATCAATGAATTTACTTACTTTATCTTCACAAAGTAACGGAAGATGTAATAGAATTTCGATTGGCTCTGTATCAGCTGTCATCACAATAAATTCTGACATACCTCGGTTAAGTGTCTTAGTAGCTGATGGATTGTTTGTTTGTTTGTTCGATCGATTGTTTATTTTATTAGATGTTAATCAATCAATATCTATCTATTCATTTTTAATATTTCCTAACAGATAACACACACACACACACATATATATTATAATGTACGATAAATACCTTCGTTAGCTCCTTTTTTCAATTGTTTATAGTTCAAGGCTTGTTGAACTAGATCGAGTATTTGGTTAGTTAAGTCGGCATCAGCCAATGGAAATGCTTTTGGATTTACTGAACTATTACTTGTTGACTATTAATAAAAAGTTAATAAATGACAGTAATGATTGTAATTGTAATTGTAATAATTATATAAAATACTCGCCATTTTTGATATATTTAAAAATTTTTAAGAAAAATTTTTTAATCAAATAATTAACTGTGATTGGCTATAAATTATACGCGAATTCACCATCTGGGCGTTTTTGACTTGTAAAATTTTTTTACCTCAAAAATGAAATCGCAATTTTTTAATAAATTCTCAATTCTAACTATTACAAAAAGATTTTTTGGTATTAATAAAAATAGCAACATTTCAAAGATGTTATTAACACAAATTGATAAAAATCTTGGAATGTTGAACGAAGCAAAAAATTGGAATAATCTAAAAGAGGAATTAAGGAATTTAGAGAAAGCTAATGTAAGCAAATTAAGAATGGAACAAACAAACAAAACAAACAACATCAATAAATATTAATATTTAAAAAAAATTTTCCATTAGCAAGTAACATTATACCTGTAGGTTGGAGTCTCAAATGATTTTGAACATCTATCACAACTCCAATTATTGCCACTTCCAAATACTTTCTTTTTGCAAGAACTGCATGAAGGATAAATAAGTTCTTTGCCTTTATTATGTATGTAAGCAACAGTAGCCCTAACAGTGAAATAGTCAGGCTTGGAAATAAATATATAGATGAAGTTAAAGCTAGATGCA